ACTAGTGCCCAGGACAGCGCGAGCTATGGAAAGCGCCTTGTTGTTTTTATAAGCGCCCGAGCTGTTCGAGGAAAAAGCTATGGATTTTTCGTTTGTTTTGGAAGGTAAATAGCCTAAAAGTTTTCTAGAAATCTTGGAAATCAATAGGAATACCTGATTTAATTTAAATTTTCAGGAAATTTTTCAGTATTGTGCGGGATTTTGCCGATTGTGCGTGATTGTGCGGGTTAGACCGAATTGTGCGGTCCCGCACCCGCGCACCCTGTCAGAAGGCCTGAGAAATGCAATCTAAGCGGGGCTATAAAATTTGTATCTGTTCTGTCATCCTAGGGGAACGTGACTCAGGCTTTTCAAAATTACAAGGGCTTCAGTTTTATTTTCCAGAAAGTATGAGACCGTATAAAGTTAAGTTCATTTCTTTATCACCTAGAGATATGCCAAGAGATCAGAGGCACAATTTAACAGATTTGATCAACAAGAAACAAGAAAGGTAAATACAATATTAAAATAATTTTATTCTATTTATATACATTAAGCAGTCTAGCAACACAGTGTAGAAGATAGAAGAATTCATGGTCAAAACAAACTACACTGTAAAATTCAAACTGCATGATAAATGGCATAAGACATAATCCTGCCCCTCTCAAACATGCAAAGGAATACTCCAGCTTTAACCCTGTGAGAGCATGCAAGGGCATTATGTTTGATGCCCTATGATATATTCTAATTTTTAAATAAAAACTTTGATTAAGAAATATATACTTAGGTCAACTGGTATTCCAACCCAGCAAAGAAATGGGATACAGATTCTCCCTGAACTATTACGTCCAAAGTCTGATATTTATATAAGGAAATAAACACCAGCTCAACTGTTATTCATACTCAGCAAAGAACTGGGAGGCAGTAAATTTCTGAACATTTAAAAACAAACTTTAATTAGTTTTACGAGCATTAAAATGAGACATGGGTGTTAGAGGATAAAAAGTAGAAATTCTATTGTGACAAATTCTCTTCTTAGCCTGCATCCACTTACTAAAATGAAAATTATTTCCTATTTTTCAATAACTGACAAGAGTTGTTCAAATTTTTATTTACGCGCCTTTGAACTGTTTTGGTTATCAACCCTTCAAACCAATTCTTTCGTTTTCAAAGTGTCTCGACCAAATGAAGCATTTAGAGGGCCCCAAAGCCCACGGACAGAATTTTTAAGATACATGGATTTTCTCCCGGGGAGTGCTCCCCCTTATATAAGCCAACTAGGTATGTGCCATCCCAAAGGGTATGGTTTTTGCACCTTTTTGGTCTAAAAATGGTCAGGATTTGGAGAACCTACCAAGAACCCCCAAGAGCACTGCCCTAGGGATTTCGGTCACTTTTGGGTAGTAAATAACAAATAAGCGGCCATGGTTTAAATACTTGGGCTACGTATGAATCGCCGAGAGAGAGACTTAGCTTCCCTCTTTATTGGGTACTTTGTTTTGCTCTGCACGTAAGTTTTGTTTACTCTTTTTAGATAACTCAATCTAAAAGAAGTGCAGGTATATTAAAGTTGTTTAAAACGTGCGGGCCCCCAAAACAAAATAATTTGAAAAATCTTAATTATGTGCCAGTAAGTTTCCTTGCTTTAAATTAGATAACGCAATCATGGTTAGAGATATTATGTACTAGCTAAGACCAGGGAACCTAACTTGTAATAGGTAATCACTGATTTCAAAAACCTATCACAATAACATTTTGACTGCCAGATAAAGAGTATTTCAACAGATCATATCTGACTTCATCATTTTATTATCCTTTAACTAATTTTCTTTGTCTTCTTCACTCATGTAGGTAACAATCTGATAACAATCTAACAGAAGTACAGTCATTAATTGTTCAGTGCTGACCCAACTACACCAAGATATTCTTAAAACGGTAAGAGCTTGGAGCTTGTAACAACCCCAATCCCCATCTTTATTAATCCTTTATTTAATATGGCTCCTAAGGATCTTCCTTGAAGTATTAGAATACATAAAAATTCTGATATTATTATAAAAAGCAATTTACATCTATAAGGTCAACTGGGTTTCCAACTCAGCAAAAATGGGAGACAGGTGCTCCCTAAACTATGACATAATACATAATATTTACATAAAATTAATAAACTCTCCCCATTGGCAGTGGTTTTGAATAAAGGTTCTATGCCAGATAACACTCTGAAAAAACCCAGAAAGTAATGCTCCTCCCTGGACTGATACCTTAGTCTATGATAAATGGGAAATACTATTTTTAACTTACTATTTTAAAAACACTAGATAACCTGGGATTTCCAACCCAGCAAACAAGGGAAACAGGAGCTCCCTTAACTGAAACTTCAGTTTATAATAGTTAAAAATTCCTCTTTAAACTAGATAAATTGGGATTCCAACCCAGCAAGTAAAGGAGACAGGAGCTCCCTGGACTAAAACTTCAGTCTATAATAGTTAAAAACTACTCTTTAAACTAGATAAACTGGGATTCCAACCCAGCAAAAAAGGGAGACAGGAGCTCCCTGGACTGAAACTTCAGTCTATCATAGTGTTATTACTTACTATTAAAATCAGAGAAAATGGGATTCCAACCCAGAAAGTAATGCTCCCCCCTGGACTTATACCTTAGTCTATGATAGATGGGAATTACTATTTTTAACTTACTATTTTAAAAACACTAGATAACCTGGGATTTCCAACCCACAAAACAAGGGAGACAGGAGCTCCCTTCACTGAAACTTCAGTCTATAATAGTTAAAAACTACTATTTAAAGTAGATAAACTTGGATTCTAACCCAGCAAGCAACGGAGACTGGAGCTGACCCTGGACTGATACTTCAGTCTGTAATAGCTATTACTTACTATTAAAATTAGATAAACTGGGATTCCAACCCAGCAAGCAAGGGAGATAGGAGCTCCCTGGACTGATACTTCAGTCTATGATAGTGTTATTACTTACTATATTAAGGTTAGATAAACTGGGATTCCAATCCAGCAAGCAAGGGAGAGGAGCTCCCTGGACTGATACTTCAGTCAATAATAGATGAAACTTACTATTAAAAGAAATCATTCACTGGGATTCCAACACAGCAAGCAAGATAAGTAATACCTGGAGTGATACTACAGTCTGTTATGCATGTAGTTGAACCTTTAATACCCTAATTCTAGAACTAAATGAAGTGCTTTACATCTTAGCTTTAATTATTATTTATAGTATTATACTGTTCGAGCAGCAGCAATTCTTTCAATAAATTTAATAGCAGCCATAAGTAGAAAAAGGGGATTCCAAAACCAAGTTGGCCTATTGTTGCCAATACAGTGGCCTCAAGCCAGGTGGAGGGTTTCGTGCGTTCCACAGGGTGCTTGTCTACTTATGCGGTGAGAGTGGTACTGAGCCATCAGTTACACCGAGGTCTGGGTGGTCGCCTCTGACCGACAGGTGATGTATTGGGCGCCTGATAAGAAAACGGCCGTTGCACTCAAGTGCTT